ACCCATGAGCATGCGTATACTATGGGCATGTGTGTACCTGTGGATTTGTGTGTACACCTGCGGGCATGTGTGTACACCTGTAGGTATATGTGTGTATCTGTGGGCATGTGTATGTGCCTGTGGGCGTGCGTGTGCACTGTGGGCATGTATATGTGCTTAGACATGTACGTGCACCTGTGCACAGATATGCATGTTTCTTAGCAAAGCTAGATCCATGTGTACATGATCCCACGTGTGCTTGTGGGCTCCTTTTTCTATATGCGGTGCATGAGATGGAAGCATATTTCTCTGCTAAACTCCAGGGTTCCTATTTTACCTGGGCCACCTTCCAAGGTCACTCATTCTTATTCCCAGCTGTATTCTTCTCTGACAAGAGCACTCTCTCCCTCCCTGTACAAACATCAGGCCCATCAAACCTGGACGGCCTTTGGCACATGTCCATCTAGTCCCATGCCTGTGAGTCCTGCTACCACCCTTCCCTTTCTGCTTTTCTTCCTTAGGGTGCCAGGAACTCTCTCTTCTGGAGAAGGAACACAGCAATGATGACATACAGTATTCCTCTTCATCCTGGGACCATCAGGGAATCTGAGATGGAAAGACAAGTAGGGGATATCGGCATAGGACTGTGTCTGTCAGTCAGTCTATGGTCTTCACATGAGTGCGCATGTGTGTGTGTATGTGTGTGTACTGTGTTTGTCTTTGGCAGCACCGTTATCTAATGAGTTTCCATGGGGTCAGTCCTCTGGGAGCCTAGAGCTGGTAGTGATGATTTCACTGGGCTTGGGGCATACAGACATCACCTGTTGGTCTCCAGAGACCCGGCACCATGCCTCTGGCTGAGGCTGGGACCTCTCAAACTTGTCCCCAGGGCCTCTAAGAGAGGCAGGGATTTCTCCTCCCTTTGGATGGCACCTGGTCACATCCTGACTTAGGGTTGTGTGGTCAGGATTCCCTATGATGACATACTTTGGAACACTCCACGTCACTACAACCTTTGTAGACAGTACTGGCAACAAGAGACAAGCATGTTTCTCAAGCCTACTCATTTTCTGGCTCCAAGAGAGCAAGACGAATGGCCAAGCTCGCTGGAGACCCCTGTCCCGACCTTAAAGATCCAAGTGCCACTTTCCACCCTGCTGAGTGCTACCCCAGATGGATATCATCATCAAGGCTCTCAGTTGGGTTTGGCCACTGAGGGGTGTCAGCAGAGCATGCAGAGTTGGCAGAAAAAAATGTTGGGACATTCTCATCTCAGTTTTAGTTGTAGCTTTCTGCTTAGGCATCCTCTGACTCATTGCAGCAGCTCTCACTGGCTCTGGAACACCATGCTTCCCTCCTCACTTCAGTCTGCGGGTAAGGACTCCCCACTGTTACCAGCCTGGACCTACTCTGTCTCTCATTAGTCCCCTCAACTCTGCCTGGCCCTGCCTCACATCAGTTCCCTCAACTGTACCCACTTCCTGGGTACATCAGCCCTTCAAGGAATACTACTTTTTTTTAAAAAAATATGCTTATTTTGATGGAAAGGCAGATTTACAGAGAGAAGGAGAGACAGAGAGAAAGGTCTTCCGTCTGCAGGTTCACTCCTTAAATGGCTGCAAAGGCTGGTGCCCCACACAGATGCAGGGACCCAGGGCTTTGGGCCATCCTCCACTGCTTTCCCAGGCTGTAAGCAAGGAGCTGAGTGGGAAGTGGAGCAGCCAGAACACAAACTGGGGCCCATATGGGATGCTGGCACTTGCAGGGTGAGAATTTAGCCATGATACCATCACATCGGGTCCACTGAACACTTTTTTTTTTTTAAAGATTTATTTATTTTTATTGGAAAGGCAGATATACAGAGAGGAGAGACAGAGAGGAAGATCTTCCGTCCGATGATTCACTCCCCAAGTGAGTGCAACGGTCGATGCTATGCCAATCTGAAGCCAGGAGCCTCTTCTGGGTCTCCCACACGGGTGCAGGGTCCCAAAGCTTTGGGCTGTCCTCGACTGCTTTCCCAGGCCACAGGCAGGGAGCTGGATGGGAAGAGGGGCCGCCGGGATTAGAACCGGCGCCCATATGGGATACCGGGCATGCAAGGCGAGGACCTTAACCACTTGCGCCACCGCGCCAGGCCCCACTGAACACTTTTAAGACCCTATGCAGTAGCCTTCTCTTTCCTGTTGGCACCTCCCGGCCATGGGATCTTTCCCGTGTCAGGAGTGTTCTCCCTTCTCTTCTTCAAGCACAGTAGGCTCTGCTGGCTTCTGGCCTTTGCACTTGCTGTATCCTCAGCTTGTTTAAAAATTATTCTTTCATCAATAAAATTAACACAGCTTACACATTCGCAGAGTTTGGCACTCCTTAAGCATCAAGCAAATACTAGCTGACATCAATGCTCTGGCTGCAGTTGTGTTAAATTTACATGAAACCACAAGCTGCTGGGAGGCAAACAAGCTGCCATGTTGGCTGTAAAGGTCTTGGCTCTAACTCTGTATGCACTGACCTACCTCAGATCGAGTGTGACTGATGTATTGGACACATTTCTGTAGTCCATCTTATGGATGCCTGCATTTTTTTCAAATTTTGGAGGGTTCTCATTCATTATAAGCTAAAATGCATCCTGAGGTCTCATGAAAGGGACAACATACATATGCAATGTTCAATAAGCCAGAGCCTTGCTTTTATTGCATGATATTTTATAATAACATGGGAGGTGGGTGTTTGGCTAGTTGTGAAGCAGTAGTTTGCCTGGGTTTGGGTCTGGCTCCATCGTCTAATCAAGTTTGTCACTAGGCAAGCATCAAGTGATGGCTCAAGTGGTCAGGGTCCTGTCATTCCTGTGGGAAAGGACACTTGGGGAATGAACCAGCAGGCAGGAGCTGCACCTCAAGCTCAGCCTTGGGGCTCTCACGACACTCAACACACCAAAGGTATGCTTTGGCTTCCTAGTTTAAGGTCCATCTCTCTTATTCAACTGAGAGATTGGCAAACACTTTCAGACCTGCTGTGTGCCAGGCTGGATTTCCAGGGCAGTGTGTTCTGGCCTCACAAAGAGGCCCCTACAGACAAGCCTGCACGCATGACAGCTTATTTCTCCCCCACATGAGAGTGTGGCCAGGAAGTCTAGGCTGGCATTGTGATTGCCAGCTGTTCCCCAGTCCCTGGGCAAGCTCCACAGCCCATCTCCTTCCTCAGCCTTCATGACACAGCCTAACACAACCTTTTAGTTAGACCTACTCTGGTCTCTTTGACCTTGGCTCCCAACCCAGCCTCCCCTCAACCACGGCCAGCTCCGTGTGCTTTCCCAAGCCACCAAACAAATCCTGAGATGAAGAGAACTTCTCATGCGGCACACAAGACCCTAGTTAGCATGTCTTTGCTTGCGTGTTCGTCACAGAATCCCCCTTCCCACTGTGGCCATGGCTCATACCTGTCCACACCCTGGACGTGAAGGTCAGCTACCTCACCCTTTCTATGTCTCCATGTTTTCATCCCAAATGTGGAGATAATCAGTTTGGCCCCTAGGGTTGCAGCAATAATTCTTTGAGCAGGACTGGTGTGATGGCTCAATGGCTAAATCCTCATCCTGCAAGTGCTGGGACCCCATATGGGTACTGGCTCGTGTCCTGGCTGCACCACTTTCCATCCAGCTCCCTGCTTGTGGCCTGGGAAAACAGTCAAGGACAGCCCAAAGCCTTGGGACCCTGCACCCATGTGGGAGACTTGGAAGACGTTCCTGACTTCTGGCTTCGGATCAGCTCAGTTCCAGCTGTTGGGGCCATTTGGAGAGTGAATCAGTGGGTGGAAGTTCTCTCTGTAAATCAAATCTGCCTTTCCAATGAAAAAAAAATTATCTGAACATAGCCTGACAGAATTAAGCCAAGCAGACAACCTCTTGATTCTGTCAACTTCCCTGTGGAGGCAAGGGGCAGTTGACATGGCTTCTTTTGAGGTGCCAGGAGCCAAAGCCCAGAAAATGGAAACTAGTTGCCTGAGGCAGCTGCACCACAGGTGGCCAAGCCTGGATTCCTCCGGATAAAATCGGGGCTGTGAGAGAAGCAAGTAAGGCACATGAAAGGCAGTTTCAAATGTCTGTGCCTCAAGTCCCTTGTACAATCACACCCACGGGGCCACGAGGGATCCCAGCTGCCCTGCTCCTGGCAGCCCTCTGCTCAGCTGCCTCAGCATGGCCGGCAGGGACAGCTGGGCTGACAAGAGAAGCCCATTGTCTCTGGCCTCTGGGGCTCTATTGTTGGAGCCTCCTCCCAGGGCCCAGCCCCACGAACACCCCAGCGGAACCCAAGGGCTTGTCTCCGGGTTCTGGGGTGGTGGGGGTGCGGACACGTCACAGAGATCCGACTGTACCATGCAGATTGGACCACCAGGCGAGGGACACGAGGCTCCGGCCGTCTCATGTCAGAGCGCTACAGATGGGGCAGGCGACACGCGTTCTCCTCAGAGTCTCCGTTCCCAGTAGGTTATAGATGTCAGGACCAGAGCAAGGAACCTCGCCACATTTTACTAGTGGAAACGAAGGGCTAGCACACGCTGACACAAGTATATACAGCTCGCCCAAGGCACAGTGTGGCAGGTAATTCGGTGTCCCCGACCCCCACTTGGCTGGTTTGGGGGAGCGCGGGAACACGTTGAGCGAGAGGGGCGGGGCACGAAGGAGCCACGCCCCCCCGGGCGGAGCGACGCTCACGTCCTCCTTCTCCGAGACGCCCGGCGGTCAAAGTACAAGCAGCACCGCCCCCTAGGAGGCGTGGCTTTCCGAGCCTGCCTTTCGTCGGAAGCAGGCGGGACTGCGTTTGATGGGCGCTGGGGGCGTGGCCTTCCTTCTGCGGATGAGCTTCGCACGGGATTCCATCGCTCTGTGACGCAGCGCGGCCGGCCAAGGGGCGGAACCGTATCTCCCCGAGCCCCGCCCCCAGCGGCGGGGGCCGAGGCCGGGGGCGTGTCCTGGGCGGGGGGCCCACCCCACCCGCGTCCTGCCCCGCCCCGCCCGGTCGCGGAGCGCCGGCCAGCGTGGGGAGGGCCTGGCCCCGGGATGTGAGTGCGGCGGGGCAGGGGGTACGGGGTGGGCGGCGAGCCCAGACCCGCAGCTTCCCAGGGGTCCCCGTGGGCCTGGGTGCTAGTGCGCGGGCGGCCGGGCGGGACCGGTAGTGTGGGCTAGGTATGACGGGCTCAGGGACGCTGCTGCCGGGCGCTTCCAGGCCGGCGGGTGCGCGGGGCCCGCCCGGTGCTGCTTCCCGCGGCCGGAGGGACGCGAGTCTGACGCCTGCCGTGCACCGGGCCCCGCTAGTTATGCGGACGCCCCACTAGTTATGTCGCCGGGTCGGAGCGGTTTCAGGTCCCAAGGTGGCGGCTGCGGGGCTGTGATTGAGGAGGGGGACATTCGCGCGGAGGGACACAAAGTGAGCTCACACCTCTGGCTTGGGGCTGGGCCGCTTCGTGCCAGCTTGTGCGTTTTCCCGATCCTTTAAGACCCAGGGCCGCACAGCTGTTGGGTCGTTGTGTAGACAGCAGGTGTCCCTGCGCGTGCACAGCTGCCCTATGACCTTCGGCACCTCCTCCCAGGGCTGCTGTGAGGGCTGGGTTACTGAGGAGTTCAGGGAGCGAGCAGGTGCTTGCTGTTGCCTCGGTGAGCCCAGGGGACCGGGCCTCTCTGCTTCCCACGCTGAGGCTGTCCCGCCCGCGTGTCTATTCTTGTGCACCCCGCAGGCCGCATTCCACCCAGCTCTACCAGCATGTGCCCGAGACTCGCTGGCCCATCATATACTCGCCTCGTTATAACATCACCTTTATGGGCCTGGAGAAGCTGCACCCTTTTGACGCTGGGAAATGGGGCAAAGTCATCAATTTCCTGAAAGGTAGGGAAGGCCCCTCTGGGAATCCACAGCTTCCTTACCCCCACCCACACCCACAAGTCAGCATCTCCCCCCTCTTGTTGGGGCCCTCAGAGTTCTACTCTCCCCTTCCCCCACGAGCTGTGTGTGTGTGGGGGGGTCCTTTCAGCACAGTTGTCCTTGCCTGTTATGTCCCTGCCAACCCCGCCCCTTGGCCTGTCACTGCCCTGCACCCCAGTCCTGCCTCTGCTGCCCTGAGGGTGGCCTGGAAGAGAAGCTGATAAATGGGGGAAGCTGAGGATTGGAGGAGGCCAGAGGCTGTCCCCTGAAGTTCACAGAGTTGAGAAGGTGGAGAGCCTTTGTTCCGATCCTGCTGATTATTTGTGGGGGCAGTTGGGGCCCAGAGTGGCCGAGGGGAACGCAGAAGTGAGCTGCAAGCTTCTCACCTGGACGGCTGCTGCTCCAGAGAGCTCACGGCTGTAGCTGTGGCTTGCCACCAGGGGTCTGGTTCAGGTGGGACCCTCGGGCATCACAGTAGTTCCAGTGGGAATGTACTCTGTGTTTCTTCATGAAGGGAGGTGGGAGATGCTGGCATAGGCAGAAACAGCAGAAGTTGAAGATGTGAAAGGCTGTGCCTCTTCCAGAAAGTAGGCTCCAGTTACAGGTGGCTGGTGCTGCAGGCTTCCACTGGATTTGGTTTTGGCTTTTGGTACACTGCTTCTGACACATAGTACCAACTTTTCCTGTGCTGATGTGACCACAGCACATGTTCAAAGAAAAGGAGGTGGGAGATGGTGTGTGGTGTGTAGACATGTGATGTTGAGAGCCCTGGCCAGGGCGGCGGGGCTGGCCTGCGTCTCACCTGCAGGCTCTTGCCTTCCCCAGGGTGGGCCTCATTTCTGTCCAGCAGATGCAACCAAAGCCAGAGTCCCTATGGTCCCATCTTGGGCTCCCGGGTCAGTGCAGGGCTTGGTGTTGCGGCTCCTGGCCTGCCTCATGGCAGAGGCAGTAGCTGCCCTGAGCTTCTCCTTCCCTCCCCTGAGGATGAGGATGAGACAGAGGTCACCTGGTGAAGGGACTCAGCTGACATCCCAAGAAAGGAGCCAGCCCTTTGCCTGCAGGGAGTGTTCTGGGAGAGCAGTGCCTGCCTGAAGTCAGGTGGAGCTAGTCTGATTCTAGCAGCGATGTTGGTTTCTAAATGCAACTCACTGAGACATCCCCTAGATCCTGGTTTCCCTGCGACCAAGAGCCCCATGCACCTGCCTCCTAGGGCTCTTCCTCGTGGGAGTGAGTCTTGTCTGGCATGTGTAAGGGGCACAGTGTTTCACTCATCAGGCATGCGGACCTTGCCATGAACTCAGACAACCTGTTCTGTTGTTTACTGCTTGCTTTTCAATGTGGCCTTTAAACTTTTTTGTTGTTGTTGTTGTTGTTTAAAAGGAAACATGGCACCTAGTGGGTAAAGAGTTCCACTTGTCCTAAAGAGGAGGTCATGGTTAAAAAAAAATTCAATACAAGCAACAGTGTAACTTAATTCCAACTGGTTTCCATTGGGGCTGAACGCTGCTGTGCTGTTTTGGTTAAAGGCAGGAAGAGCATAAGCTGGGCAGGGGTGGCAGGCTGGCCCCTGCACACTGAGCCTCCGGGTGTCTTCAGAAGGTGGAGGGAGAACTGCTGGGGAAGGCTGTTTCTCACCTTGATGGTCAGCGTCACTGACTGCCGGGCCACTTGCCTCTGAAAGTTGTCCAGACACACCTGACCTCACCTGGTGGCTACCAGTGACTTGGGAACGGGAGGATCGCTATATACATCATGTCCAATGCTCCGTGCCTTCCAAGCACTCACCAGCCGACTGTGCCCACTCTTCTGGGGCAAAGGCTGCCAGCCACCAAATCTGCAGGTCTGGGAGGGAGGGACAGGGAAGCAGACGGTAACTTTGTGATTGCAGAGGACAAGTTGCTGACTGATGGCATGCTGGTGGAGGCGCGGGAAGCCTCGGACGAGGACCTGCTGGTGGTGCACACAAGGCGTTATCTGAACGAGCTCAAGGTACGCGTGGGTGGGCCTGACGAGGTGTCTGGGTTTCTTGGTCATGGTCATGGCTGTCACATTCCTTCCTCCCTGCCCTGACCTCAGCAGTGAGAGTTCCAGATGGGCCTGAGACAGTGTAAGCTCATGAAAGATTACCTACCAGGAAGAGATTAGATCCTGGCTCCCAGGAGAGGAAGGTGTGAGAGGCTCTGGCAGGACGCCCAGTGCTTGCCTGTCCTGGTTTGCAAGGGCCCAGGCATGCGTGGTCATGGTGCACGGCCAGGATGAACGGCCTGCTTGAGTCCAGAGGAGAGGGGCAGGCAGGGGTGGAAGGCGCTGAGACCTGGCAGAGAGAACACAGAAGAGAGAGTGGGGCTGAGAGGGCTGGGGTCTGGGGGTAGGCTCTAGGGTCCTGCTGATGTTAAGGGACTTTCAGGGGATGTGTTCAGCATGCCTAACGGTGGGTCCCAGAAGGCTGGAAGCAGCTTCCTCTCTGAGCATAAGTAGAAATGGTTTTTTAAAAAGTACTAACAGGCAGAGTCCAAAGCAGAAAATGGAGGCCCAGGGCCAGAGGATAATGTCGCTAATTCAATTAAAAGGGTTCATTAGCGTGCTAATCCAGCTGCTTGGAGTTCCCTAGCTGCCAGAGCAAGGGGGGAAACACAGTCACTTCCTGCTAAGATGGGGAAATGGTTAATCAGTGCCTCTGTACTGAATGGGAAGGGGAGGCTGGGAAAGCAGGGTTCCCTGCTCCTGCAGAGTTGCATTCTCGTGGTTGGAAAAGTGACCCCTGAAGCAGCATTTCACAGAGCACCAAGAGCTGCCGAGGAAATGAGCATTGGCAGGTAGCTGGGCAGAGGTGGGGTAGAGATGTGCTGGTCTAAAATGAGGAGCAGTGACCCTGACATGGAGCTTTGAGGGAACCTACTCTAGGGTCAAGGGACAGAAGGAGGCTTGAGTGGCCAGATGCTCAGCAAACCAGGCACAACAGGCCATGCAGGGGCTTGCAGGCTGTGGGAAGAGTGGGACTTGTCCAGTGACAGAGGCTTGGTTCTGTTTTTGCTACCCAGGTAAGTGCCATGCCCCTCAGACATTTGGGGTATCTGGTATCTGGGGCTGCAACTCTCAATGCCCCATGCTTTGTGTGTGATGTTTCCAGGCCGCTGCATGACCTGTGCCCTCTCCCCTGCCTCGCCCCCAGCAGTAGACTGGGATTCATGCCTGGCCCTGCCCTGAGACAGCCTCCATACCAGGCATGGAGGCCATACCATGGCAGGACCAGGCATGGGAGGAGAAACCTTAATTGCATGTTTGCCAGGGCAGGATGTTACCAAGGCCAGGGAAATGAATGTTTAGGAAGCCAGGCCCAAAGTTGGCTCTATTGAGGGTGGCAGTTGGACTGGAACAGTACTGGGCTCTTATCTCTGGCTCCCATAGAGACACTCCACCATGGGGTGCCCATTGGCATGGACAGCCCCTGAAGTCCTGTTCTCACACACTGTGGGATGGGCAGTACTTGGGACCTGTCTCCCAGCAACCTTAGCACTGTACACAGCACTAAGTGCCAGGAGGACAGCAGAGAGTAACAGACTGAACCCCTTCTCTCAGGAGGTGGGTCTCCACAGTTAGTCTGCCCATGATGGAGCAGCTGGGGGGCTTACTGATGCTAAGAACCACAAGGGCAATGGGGTAGGAAGGATGACTGGCTCCCATCCGGGTCAGGAAAGGGTTACTTGAAGCGTGGTCAGAGCTGATATGGAATGGGTGAAGGAGTGGGTGGATGGCAATGTGGGGAGGGAATGTGGAGGGGGTGAGGGAGTGGGCAGATGGCACAGGGGAGGCGGGAAGGATGTGCCAAGCAGCTGGAACAGCAAGTTCAAAGGCCTCAAGGCAGACTGCAGCTCCAGAACCTTCCAGTAACAGTGAGAGGGAGGCTTCCCCTCTGCCCTTGGGGTGCAGGTCCTGGGATCCTCTTCTCCACTTCCTCCTCCTCTTTTTTATTGTGGTAGAATTTACATTTGCATAGAAGTAGCCATTACCACTTTAAAGTGTATAATCAGTGTTAAATCCATTCACAGTTGGTGCAACTGTTGCGTCTAGTGCTGAGGCTTTGCCTGCCTCTTTCACAGGAAACACACTCTTCCTAGTCTTCCTTCCGCACACGCCATCTCTGGGCGCCTGCACCTGCTCTGTTCCCAGAAGTGTGCCTCTTCTGGGCGGGTCTCCCAGGTACCTCCACGTTCAGCAGGGGTCAGTACTTCATTTCTTAGTACTTCATTCCATTCGTGCTCAATATCCTGTTGACAGAGTCCCATGTTGTATGTGTATTTTGGTTTCTGGATATTGGAGCCATTTCTGTTACGTGGTTAGTGAACCGGTTTGCTCTGGCTGTGCTCACATTCATTTGCATTAGCTGGCCGTGTAGTCATGCTTTGTATGTGCGCATTCTGCAACAATTTAGCTAGCCAAAGATTGCAAGTATCTGAAGAACAATTGAAAGTATTTCAGTAACACTCGGACCTATTCTGAGCCTGTACAGAGTGTGTGTTCCCCTTATCATTCCTTCCTAAACAAATCATAGATCGACTTGTTCCATAGCATTGGAATAGGGTAGGAAGTAGAGTTGGGTTGAAGCACACAGGATAAGGTGCCTCTGGTATCACTAAATAGTATCCCACTTTGTAGAGAGGTACAATGAGGGTCGAACTCCCCCTTGGGTTTCCACGTCCTCAGTCCAGACCATGCATCTTTCTGGAGGCACAGAAAAGCCAGCTGTGCCCAAATCCACATACATACCCTGTGGCAGAGCCAGAGAGGAGGGCCTATGTGGCTCCCATGTAGCCTGCCCACAGCCTCGCCAGGGAGGGAGATTATCAGAGGGGCTCACCTGCCAGGCATGTCCCACGGCAGCTGGCCGCACCATCCAGATAAGGTGTCTGTTCCCTGCTTACCCCAGCCTCATAGCTCTCTCCAGAGCCCTGCCCAGTGGTTCCTGGAAGGGCCTTGTGTGGCGTTCATTGCTGGTTTGTAGGAGTTCACTCCAGGTGATCATCAATGAACTTCCAGATAGCCCCATGACAGGTACCATGCCTCTCCCATGGTCCTCAGCCACTCTGTGTCTATTGGGACCACAAAGCCTGCTGTGGCCACGCCCTGTGCCCTCTTAACCCTTCCCTCTGCATCCCTCCATCTGTCTTCCTCTCTAGCCAGCATTGGCTGGCTTCTCCTAGAGCAGCATTTGTGATCTGCATGCGCCCTGGCTGGTGGATACTCCAAGGCATGCGTGGCTTTTGAGAACTCAAAATGCAGCCAGTGGGATTGAAGAACAAAATTGTCATTTAAAAAATAATAGTGATTTAAAATTATATGAAGGACTCTTCAGAAATTGGTGAAAATATGTATTACGGATTACACATGGATTTTGAAAGTTTTTATATCAAAATAAGCTATGTTTTTGAAGATCTGTATGTTTGAAAAGCAGAATGACAGAGAGGGAGAGTTCTTCCCGGTTCACTTTCTAGAAAGTTGCAACAGCTGGGGCTGGGCCAGAAGGATGCCAGGAACTCCATCTAGGTCTCATGTGGACAGCAGGGCCCAAGCCGTTGGGCCATCTTCCTCTGCCTTCTTAGATGCATTAGCAGGGGCTAGATCAGAAATGGAACAGCTAGGACTTGAACCAGCACTCTAATATGGGATGCCTGTATTGTAGGTGATGGATTAGCATGCTACACCACAACACTGAACCCTAAACTTAGTTTTAATCTCATTTGTCAGGACCTTTCTAAAGGATTCCTTTGAGTGAGTATGAGAGTTGGATCCACGAGGCCTATTACTGCCTTGTGCAAACATCACCGTGGGACAGGGTGTGTGCTCTTCCTCATCCTCAGGAGCAGGGCCTGGAAGAAGGCACAGGGCTGGCACCGTTGGCAGACCACACGTGCTGTAGGGGACTTCACACCTGGTCTCAAGACCATATGAAGTTCAGTTGTTAGCTTTGAGCATCCCAGGCCTATCCCACTGCAGATCCACAGAGGGTTAGTATGAGCTTTGGGTAAAGCAAGAGGTGGGCCAAGGTGGGCCACCTCAGCCCTGGGCACTTATAGCAACCCCCACATGCGACTGTGGCCTTCCCGCCTGGATAGCTTGCCCTGACAGTGGCTGATCTGGGCCTCATCGGGCCTGTCCCCTTTGTCAGCACCCAGAGCTTCAGGGTCTGCCTCTTATTCCACCCTGGGACTGCTGCTTCTCTTCAGATTGGCTTTGTGTGCTGCAGCCTGAGCAGTCCAGTACAACAGCGTCTGTGGTTTCCTGTTACTGTGGGCACAGTGTGAGCCTGTCCTGGATGGGCAGGCCCTGTGTGATGAACCCACCCAACCCATCATGGCTGCACTAATCTCTCAAATCATGGACTCTGTCTGCACCTGCAGTTGCTTTTTCACCATGACTCCTGCTGTGTCACTTCTCCCAGGAAGACACATGTGTGCATACTCCCCTTCCCCCGGCTCCTCCTGCTGTGCTGTTCCACCACATATAAGCACCTGCTACCTCCTCCACCTTCCCACCAGGCTGTGAATGTCCTAGTACAAGAGCAGGACACCCCTGCCCCCTTTCTCACTCTGGGGACCCCTCAGGGCTCTTAGCAGACATCGACTAAAATACCAAGTGAGTGATCTGGTCCTGGCTGCTCCTGGAAGATGGTGCAGGGTTGGGTGCGGTTGGGCAGCTGGTGTCATGGGTGTTTCCCTAGGACACTCAAGTCACAGCAGTGTGCTCTGTCCTGGTCTTAATGCCAGGATGGAAGGCAGGCTGTAGCTTTTCTAGGGAGTTCTGCTTTCCAGTGGCTGTTGGGACCATCTGTGGGATGAGGAAGGGGGGTGACTGAAATATCCTCCCTGTCCAGGCCTCTATCCTCTTGGGTACACTGGGTGCTCTGGCCAACTCCACCAGAGCAGCTTGGCAGGAGCTTGGGCCTTGGCAGCTGGGACTCCCAGCTCTGTGCAACTCTCATTCTGGGCACCAGAGGGCAGCACAGAACTTCAGAATGCCGAAATCCCTGGGCAGACATTGCTTCAAGAAATGCTAGGTGTGGTTGGTTCTCTGCTGACCCTGAAGTTTGGAAATTGTGTAAGGCTTGGAGGGTTCCTGAGAGCTCTGGTCTGTGTATCTGTATTTCTTTTTCTTTCTTTCCTTCCTTCCTCTTTCACTCTTTCTCTTTTTCTTTTTTTTTAAAGATTTATTTTTATTGCAAAGTAAGATATACAGAGAGGAGGACAGACAGAGAGAGGAAGATCTTCCATTCATTGATTCACTCCCCAAGTGACTACAATGGCTGGTGCTGCACTGATCCGAAGCCAGGAGCCGGGAACTTAAGGTCTCCCATGCAGGTGCTGGGTCCCAAGGCTTTGGGTCGTCCTCAGCTGCTTTCCCAGTGCACAAGCAGGGAGCTGGATGGGAAGCAGGGCTGCCGGGATTAGAACTGGCACCCATATGGGATCCTGGCGTGTGCAAGGTGAGACTTTAGCTGCTAGGCCACCGCGCCTGGCCCCTCTCTTTTTTCTTTCTCTGGCTCTCTTTTTTCTTCTTCCCTCCTTTCTTCTGTCCTTCCTTTCTAGATGTGTTCATTTTACTTATTTCTTTTTAAAGGCTTTTTCATTTGAAAGGCAGAGTTACAGTGAGAGTAGGAGAGACAGAGAGATGGTCCATCTGCAGGTTCACTCCCCAAATGACCACAGTGGCTAAGTCTATGCCACATCAGAGCCAGGCACTTCTTCTAATCCTCCCATGTGGGTGGAGGAGCCCAATCACTTGAGCCATCTTCTGCTTTCCCGGGTGCATCAGCAGAGAACTGGATTGGAAGTGGAGCAGCTCACACAAGTACCCATAAGGGATGCTGGCTTTGCAGGTGGTGGATTTAACCTGCTTTTCCACAATGCTGGCGCCTATTCATTTTACTTAGGAAGCAGAGTTAGAGGGAGAGCCAGGAAGAAAGATCTTGAAGACAGAAATCAGAAGCTTCAGCTGGGTCTTCCGTGTGGGTACAGGGGCCTACGCACTTGAGCCATCTTCCACTGCCTTCCCGGGCACATTTGCAAGGAACTGGATCAGAAGTATAGCAGCAGGCACTGGATCAAGCATCCATAGAGCTGCTGGTGTTGCAGGTAGTGGCTTACTGTGCTGCAGCACAGTGCTGGCCCCCAGCTCTGGCTTCTTACCAGGAGATTGTGTTTGGCTGGGGAGCTCATCCCTGGACGTTGTCCTCAGGCACTGAGGTGGCATCTGACGTCCAGGACTATGTTCTCTTTCTACAGTGGTCCTTCGCTGTTGCCACCATCACCGAAATTCCCCCTCTCATCTTCCTCCCCAACTTCCTGGTGCAGAGAAAGGTGCTAAGGCCTCTCCGGACCCAGACAGGAGGAACCATAATGGTAGGTGGGGGGTGGTGCAGGTGGGCTGGGGACTCTGGCTCCTTCCCACCACCCCTGTCCTCTGATGTCCGTCAGGTCCAGCAACACTGACCCTGCTTCTAAAAGCCCTTCCCATCTGGGGGGCATTCGAATTCCTTGTTTCCTTCCTCAGAATAAATTCACTCATCTGTGACCTATGCCTCCAGCTCCTGGCACTTCCTGCACCAAAATGTGGCAGTTATGCTGAATTTAAGACGGCAAGCTGAGCCCCTGTTCAGTGCCAGGGAGTGCTGCTCCCTACCCCAAATACCAACACCCCAAGCTAAATTCACTTTCCCATCCTGTGTGCAGACACATGGCAGCAGCCGCGATGTCCCACTCTGATTTCAATCCCAGGCTCACTCCCTGCAGTTGTCATTTTCCAAAGTTGTGTTTTCTCGGTTTCGTAGACATTGGCCACCTCCAAACTGTGATTTCCTACTGGAAGTTAATATTTATTCCTGCATGCATCCAGGAGCACCTGTCACTTTGAAAGCTGTCTTAAAGTCTTAGCTCTCGTGGGATGATAACAACTTCCCTTTGATTTTTTTTCCATTCCTTGAAAAGTTGCAAAGAGTGTCTTGTCTGTGCAGCTGCTATGCTATCCAGTCTGACACTCGCTCCCTGGACTTTCTGTTTGGTTGCCAGTGGCAGGTGGAGGTGTCTCCTATGCCCCCAACTCAGAGCTTGTCTTCCCCCACCCCCCAGAAATGGCAGGCTACTGTATGGAGCTGAGCGAGGGAGGGGCTCAGCGAGCAAGTGCAGGACTTGGCCACCCTGTACCCTCACCTCTGCCTCTCCCTCCCCACAGGCGGGGAAGCTGGCTGTGGACCGAGGCTGGGCTATTAACATTGGTGAGTCCGGTGCTCAGGACTGGCTAGCCTGGGGGCGGGCAGGCTTGGGGCAGGGAGGATGGGCCTGCAGGATACTGGGAAGCTATGCTGAGCCCCCTTGCTATCTGGAGGGTGCATCCTGAGCTCCGCAAGGGATGCCGGGTGCTGCTTCTGTCTTATGTGGTTCCCAGTCCGTCTCTGTCACACTTCCTGTGATGGGCAGCCCCCAGCCCCTGAGAAGCCTGGCTTTGGACTTGAACCCCACTGCCACAAATCTCAGCCAGAACCCACCAGTCTCCCGAGGCACATGCTGGCAGGGTCTTGCCACCCAGCCAGCCTCACCTCTGGGTTCCTCAAACCCCTGCACTCCCCTGCAAGGCTGCTCAGAGAGGACTGACTGCGTGCCTCATTCTTATCCTTGTCAGGTCCATGAGCACGGAGTCCCTTCCAGGCAGGCTCTCCTCAGGGCTGGGTGTAGTTGTCAGGGACCTGTTTCATTGACCAGGGGAGAGGCCAGAGGCTTGCTCCACCCTCTAAGCTTGGAAGGCAGGGCCGGCTCCCTGGCCTGCAGTACCTCCAGGAGACCAGCCTGAGGCCCTGTGTGTCCGCACTGTTAGAGGAACTCCTGTGGACAGAGGAAGTGCCTGTCCTGGGGCCTGATGGAGCTGGAGAGCCTGGGGCTTTATCTAGCCTGGATGGGAATCCCAGTCCCTGTACCTCAGTCTCCTCATCTGTAAAATGGGCATGGGGATGAGCATGCACCTCCCGGGGCTGTAGAAGCTCAGCGTGGAGCTCAGGTTGTCCAGTGTGTCCTGAAACCCAAGGGGACACCGGGGGGAGGGGGAATGAAGGTTCATGGGGCCAAGCCCTAGAGCCCTCCTCTGAGTGACCCTGCATGCCTGTCTTCCCGCAGGGGGCGGCTTCCACCATTGCTCTAGCGATCGGGGCGGGGGCTTCTGTGCCTACGCAGACATCACACTGGCCATTAAGGTATGTCAATGGCCTTGGGGGAGCTGGTCTCCCCCCCTCCCCCCGGCTTGAAGAGAGTTCTGCAGGACTTCCCACTGCCCTGCGCTAGCTGCCCTCACCTCACCTTCCTGAGCACGTCGGAGGCCAGAACCCACTCTAACGCTTCCTCTCCTTCCTGGCTGTTTATGACCCATGGGAGCTATGGCAGCCCTCCACAGTGCTGGGGGCTGGAGGGCACGGGGGGCATGGCAGCAGGGTTCAGTTAGGGCAGGGAGGGGTAGGATGATGACGACTGTGGTAGCAGCTGGTCGGGGAGACTGCGGAATCAGCAGATCTGTTAGGGGAGAGGCACAGGAGGCCTTCCTGGAGGAGGCGGCGGCCTTGGGGCTGGGCCTGGCAGATGGAGACAGACTGGGGGATGGAGTTGCAGGGCTTGTCCCCCACATGCTTCCTAGGGAAATCTGGGATCTCACTGCCTGGCTTCCTCTTGAGCTGTAGCCCCTCAGAGCATAGCACATGTCCCATCCTCCACGGAGCCCTCCCTGCCCCCTCCTCATGCATGCATTCTTCTCTTGAGCCCCACACCTCTGCCCGGATGGATGATGCCTTTGGCTGGCAGCCCGATGCCCCATAAGCGTGTGTGCCTCTACGCACTCCCTCACACTCGGGGCCATGCAGGGGCAGCTGCTCTGGCCCATCCTAGTCCTTACTTGTCCTCTTTCCTCCCCGGCAGTTCCTGTTTGAGCGAGTGGAAGGCGTCTCCAAGGTCACCATCATTGACCTTGATGCCCATCAGGTGAGTGTCCTACGGAGTGGAGCCCAGAACCTCCCCATGGCCCAGGGGGCCTCTGGGTATCCCACCCATCATTGCACCGTAGTTCTCCCCTCCTCCCTGCCAGCCCCCTGCCTTCCCAACCTTTATTGCTGCCGGGCTCACAGTTCCATGGGCTGATGGCAGGTGTGTCTGTGCCTCTAAGCCCAGCCAGAGAAATAGGGCCCCCTCATGGCTCCTGTTTGCAAACCTGAGACCCTTCCCTCCATGCCGCTGCCTCGCCCCGCTGCCCCAGGCAGGTGGCTGATCCCAACACCGGGCCTGCAACTACTGCTGTGGTATGCTAGCCCCTGCTGAGGCTCCTTCCCCATTCCTCTGAAGTCCCCGCTGCAGCCAATGAGCTCTCAGGCAGTTTAACATGTCTCCCCAGAGGTCACTGCACCCTAGTGGACGGGCCCCTCTGTCTTAGGACTCCGAAGGTAGGCTAAACTCAGACACAGGAGGAGGCTCCCTGTGCCCACCCTGCCCCTGCCATGGCTTGGTGCTGGTGGGCGTCCTGCTGCAGGTTCCCATGGCAGGGAGAGCCTGAGCCAGCTCACATAGCGCTACCCCTTATAGGTGACTCCCCCGATGGAGAAGGAAGCGGGCCGAAGCTTGCTCAGGGTCACAGTGACAGGATTGAGGTGGGACCGCAGCTGTGAGATCCTCTGTAGCTTGGACGTGTGGAGTGGTGGGCTAGGGACACCCGGCTGCAAGCAACTCCGTGTCCTCTCCACAGGGCAATGGACACGAGCGAGACTTCATGGGGGACAAGCGTGTGTACATCATGGATGTTTACAACCGCCACATCTACCCTGGGGACCGCTTTGCCAAGCGTAAGCTGCTACCCTGCACCTGGCCAGATGTTCCCCTTGCCTGGCTAACCGCACCCCCCCCACACACACACGCCCCACTCTTGCCTACATGCTAGGCCTGGCAGAGGCTCCTCCATTTGTCCTGCATCCCCAAGGTGTAGTAGCAGTCATTCCCATTTCACAGAGGACGACGTCACAACCTTCCCTGGATCCTAACCACCTGCCCAGTGGACCTGCGTGTGGGTCCTTAGGAGAGGGGTGACCACCAGCAGAATAAAACCATAATGATCTGGGCTTGCATCTGTCAAGTGGACAACAGGAAGGGACACAACACACACACAAAGACAAATAGGAAATGTGAAGTAAGATGGCAGAAATAAGTTTAAACTGCATGATTAGTGAAACTCATGGACATGCACTGAAGAGAGCCAATCAGAAAGGTAGGGCCACTCAGCTGGGTTTGGAAAGCAGGCACCTGCCACGTGGAGATAGGGGGATGCTGGGGCAGGAGGTGCTGGTGAACGACAGGTGAATTAGAGACCGGTGTGTGCACTCTTTCTTGAAGTTTTACTTTTATATTTAATTGAAAAGCAGTGTTGGAGAGAAAGAGAGGTCTTCTGCCCTCTGGTTCATTCCCTCAATGGTCACTGTGGCCAGGACTGGGTCAAGCCAGTCAGGAGCTTCTTCCAGTTCTCCCACATGGATGATAGACCTAAACACTTGGTTCTTTTCCAGGCACGTTAGCAGGGAACTGGATCAGAGGTGGAGAGGCTGGTTTTGAACCAGTGTCAACATGGGATGCTCGTTGTTGCAGGTGGAGGCTTAACTTGCTATGCCACAGCACTGGTCCCTGAACTGACTGTTGACTGTGCTGCACTTAAAATTGGAAGCTTGGCAGGTGTCCCATGTTTGGGCAAGGGCAAGCCTCCCAGTGTTCAACCCCAACTCCCCTTCTCTTTGGAGGCTCCCATTCGGGGATCTTCGGTGCTCTTTTCAGCTTGGTTTTGGGTGGACTGAGAGGCCAGGTGAGGCAGTGTCTGAAGGCCTGGTTTTGGAAACATGCGCAGTAGTGTTGCCATCATCCCAACAGGTGCTTATTGTCTCCCCTCAGAGGCCATCAGGCGCAAGGTGGAGCTGGAGTGGGGCACAGAAGATGAGGAATACCTGGATAAAGTGGAGCGGCACATGGAGAAGGCGCTGCAGGAATACATGCCTGATGTTGTGGTGTACAACGCTGGCACTGACATCCTTGAGGGCGACCGCCTTGGCGGGCTCTCCATCAGCCCAGGGGTACAGGCTGGTCCCGGGAGGCAGGGTGGGAGGACTCAGCAGGGAGGTACCGAGCTGGGGCACCAGCTGCTCAGAGCTGAGCTAGGACTGCTGTAGCACTTGCTGACAGCACAGGGCCCAGGCCTGGCTGACCAAGCTTCCCTATCCCCCTCCCAGGGCATTGTGAAGCGAGACGAGCTTGTGTTCCGGGTGGTTCGCAGCCACCAGGTGCCCATCCTTATGGTGACCTCGGGCGGCTACCAGAAGCGCACAGCCCGCATCATTGCCGACTCCATCCTTAACCTGCACAGCCTCGGGCTCATTGGGCCCGTATCCCGTGACGTCTCAGCTCAAAGCTCAGACACACCACTGCTTCCGCCCACAGTGCCCTGACCCCTGCTGCCCTCCTAGCGGCTCTGGCCTCCCTCTTGCCCTGCTCCCCTGCTGCTTTTCATCTTCTAACCTAGGTGGGCGGGTGCGGGTGGCAGCCTCCAGTGAGCTGGGAAGGGCAGGGTGAGATAGGGACCGTCCCTTGCTGGGCCACCTGAGGGACCTCGCGCTGGCAGCCCAGGGTCTTGGCCACCCTGGGTGGGAACAGAAGACGGAGTCTGAGACCTAGAATGGCCCCCATGGGGTCGCTGGTGTGGCTTGGCCTGGGGAGGCCAGCAAGGTATGGAGAACAGAAAGGAATAGATGAATCCCAACAGGCCCTGGGGTTGGGGTATCCTGGATGGGAGATGTGGCAGATGTGGCTCTCAGCTCCTCCCTCTGGCCTCTCTGTCACTGGAGTCTATCCTCCTTTCCTGAAGGACTAGGGGAGCCATGGGTGCTGTGGGAGCTAGACCTGGGCTCTGACCACTCCCAACCTGGGGGGTGTAAAGACTTGCAGGGAAGGGATGTAGGTAGCGGGGAGGGTCTCCCATCTGGAGGGGGTCTGGTCCTGCTTTTCCCAAGTCCCCTGAGCCCCAAGGGAACTGGGCAGGCCCGGACCCCCTGGTGCCATCCTTGGGCAGGTTTGGGGACAATGTCTCCAATCTGGAGCCTGCCCCTGGGGCTGGGGCAAAAGGAGGCATGATTAGCACAGGTGGTGAGACTCAGTAGGTGGAACTCAGGGCCGGGTGGCCAAGCTGGGCTCCTGCCTCTCTCTGGGTCTTCATGGCCAGGAGGAACTAGAGACTTGGAAAGAGGTTGGAGGGCAGGGCTGGGGCTGCAGCCTCCTCAGGCCTCGCCCTGAGTACCTCGGACTCATTTGTCTCCCACTGCACGGACCCCAGGTGAGCCTGCCTTCTGGAAGGGAGCTAACCAAGTTGCAGGGACTGTCACCAGGGGTGGAGAGGAGGAAATATGTCCCACCTGCTGGAGGGACAGTGTCCCGAGATCACAGAGGGCCAGGAATACCAGCTTTGGGGCCCCGACTCCCAGGCACTAACAATGCACTTTGAGCAACCCCTGCCCCCTCCAGCGCCCTTGGTCTCCAGTCATCCTCAGTGGGGTGCAGCCTGAGGGGGTCCTGGATGGGAACTGTCCGTTATTGCACTGTTCCTGAGAATCATAAAGGCTCTGACGGGACCTGGCTGCTGTGCGTTCTTGAGGGACTCCCTGTCGCCCAGGGATGGGAAGAAATAGATGCAGCAGGGAGCCTGCACCCCAAATCTCAGAGCATGGGTTTGACCCCCTTTGTGATCCAGCTTCCCACTGAGGCACACCCCGGGAGGCAGGAGGTGATGGCTGAAGTACTTGGGCCCCTGCCACGCTCACCCTGGCAGATCCAGGAGTTGGTGTATCTGGGGCAGTTACAGGCATTTGGGGAGTGGAGCATTGGAAGATCTCTTTGCACTTGTCTGTCTGCCTTCCAAATAAAATGCAACAGTTGCCCCAGTACAAGCCCTGGCACATCCGCACAGGGCCCAGTGTTTCAGGTTGTCCTTGAGGCCTGTCACAGATGGGGAGACTGAGGCTTGGCCTTGAAGACCCGGGTCTGCCTTAAATGTTGTGTGTGGGCGAGGAGGTTCTAGGGTCCCTGGTGAATGGGAAAGGGGTTAAGAAAGGGGTGGGGGCAGCAGAGGCAGTGAGCAGAAGAGGGAGCTTCTTCCAGCCATAGTTGGTTGGGGAACCAGAACCTTGTCCCCGACTTGATGGAGTGAGCAAGGCACCTGCCATAGCCTGGGCAGGTGGGGAGCAGGTAGTTGCTCAGGTCCATGCAGTGTCAGGATGGGGACCACCAGGAGTTGGGGGTGGGGAGAGCAGAGGGCCGCGGGCCTGTGCTGGGTGTTGGGGGCTTGACGGAGGCCGACAGGGGCTGAGCCACCCAGGGCTGGACCCTGTTCCCCACCATTGCCCCTCACGGTGCTCTGAGGCGAGGGCCAGTGCAATAGATGCAGAAAATGACACATGCGGACTCGAGTTAGTTCACTGCAGAAAGCTCACAGCACCTGGGTGGAGGTGTGAGGGTTGCAGCACGGCCTGGGCAGCACACTACCAGCTCCTCCTCTGAGGGGTGGGACTTGGGAGGACACCTGTGGAAGGGGAAGCCCTTAGGATCTGGGAGCTGCCCCAGGTGCCCTGCTGCCCGCAGCTGCATGCAGGCCACTAAGCTGGCACAGGGGAGTTGTCCTGTGGTTAGGCAGAGATCCAGAGATAAGCCAAGGGGCGGCGGTGTTGGTTCCCAGGTCGGTGATTTTGCTGTGGGCGTCGTTGATCAACTGTGCAGGCACACAAGTCCTAGGGGAGCTGGGTGAAGTGGCTGACGGGCTGGCCTGAGGGCTCTGGCTATCCTAGCAGGTGCTGGCGTCAGGGTGAGGGTACCCCTCATACATGTGACCCCAGAAGAACAGCACTGGAGCTCTTGGCTCAGCCGCTGGAGCCCTGAGGCTGGCTGTGAGACTTGCTGGGTGGAGGTGGGGGCCAGAACAGCCCAAAGCACAAACCTCCAAGCTGGGGGTGGAGCCTGCCTGGGCCAGCTGTGGGACAGGGTGGTGGTGTGTGGCTGACAAGTGACTCAGCCTCTTGGAAACCGCCTCTGCTCAGCCCTCCTGGTGAGTCGACGACGTCCTGAGCAGGGGGAGTGAGAGGTTGGAGCAGGTGCGTGTGAGGTGATTCAGGCAGCAGAGTGGCACACTGCTGCCCCTGACCGCCCCATACCATGGGGACTCCCTGTCAGCTGCGCTAGCAGGGCCCTTGTAGACAGCAGATACAGAGGCACAAAGGCTGTGTGGGCCCAGCCCCTCCCAGCGAGGAGGACTCCCGGGCAGATCTAAGGGAAATTTTTACGATGTCTGCCTCCTTCCGTGCTCCTCAGCCACATGTTTGGGGTTTAGGGCCAGGAACTCCAAAGCCCTGGAGTTGGTTTCATTCAGCGGAGCCAGTGCTGTCAGGAGACACCCTGCTCCAGGCCCTGGGCCACCTCTGGGAGTCTCCGTACCACCTTGGGAGGGAGGTGGCAGCCTGCAGTGTAGTGGTGACCATGGGGGCTCCAGCCCTCTCCTATCCCTCCCCTCACTAGTTAGGTAACTTTGCAGTTCCCTGTCTTAGTTTACTGACCTGTGAAATGGGGATGAAGAGTGAATTAACACTGGCAGAGTGCTTAGGGCACAAAGAAAGCAGTCAAGTTCTGCAATGTCACCATGGAGCAGAAACAGGTGAGAGAGCACGCAGGGGAGTGAGGCAACTTCCTCGAGGCCACACAGGCAAAGACCCCAGGTCTCCTGCCTGCCCCTCCCTGCGTGGTGCCTGCTCTGGCCAGTTGGTGTCCCTATGTCACATATGTCCCATGCCCCTCCAGGTCTAGGCAGACCTTTCTGAGCTGGCAGCTCTCCTGCAGCCCTGGATGAGCAGGTGACAGTGGTGGAAAGAATGTGGTCCTGGGGCCCAGCACAATAGCCTAGCGACTAAAGTCCTTGCCTTGAACATGCCAAGATCCTATATGGGCACCAGTTCTAATTCCGGTGGCACCACTTCCCATCCAGCTCCCTGCTTGTGGCCTGGGAAAGCAGTTGAGGATGGCCCAAAGTCTTGGGACCCTGCACCTGCATGGGAAACCTGGAGGAGGTTCCTGACTGCTGGTTTCAAATCAGCGCAGTTGCGGCCACTTGGGGAGTGAATTATCGGATGAAAGTTCTTGCTCTCTGTCTCTCTTCCTCACTGTGTATCTGACTTTCCAATAAAAATAAATCTTAAAAGAAGAGAAGGCTCTAGAAGTTGCCTGCTGTACATGCTCATTGGTTTAGGGTCTGAAGGATGGGCAAAGAATGCTGCAATGGGCAGGGTGGACCGGCTGGCCTCCAGAGGCCAGAGGCTCCTGAGAAAAGTGAGATCCAACAAGAGCCCAATACCCTTAGGGGCAGGCAGCTGAGCTCCCCCCTCTCGCCCTCGCATCCTCCTTCCAGGGAATGTGGGAGGGAGGCAGAGGTGAGCACATCCCGGGAAAAGGACAATGGAGTGTATCCTCAGTGACACCCCTCCCCCAGGGTGAGGTAGAGCCCCCGTGCCCCCACCCTGCCTAGGCCTTGAGCTGCATCATACATACAAGCAAGCTGAAGCTCAGAGAGGTGCACAGGTGCCCACCCAAGGCTGCCGGTGGCAGAGTGGTGGGCATTTCCTTCTGCATCTTCTTAGCCTCAGCAGGGCTGAGCCACAGTTGGATGGGATAGGATGAGCAGGACTCTGGGCTCTGCTAGGACCTGGGTGGTCTGCAGGAAGGAAGCCTGGGTAGTTTGGATCCTACCTCTGCCATAGGCTTTCCGTGTGACCCCAGGCAGCTGGCATCCCCTTCTCGGGCCGTCTCACTTGCTTCTCTAGCAGACTGGTGAGATGGGAAGGATGCTGACACCCAACAGGTGCACAGTGCTTGTAACCTTGGCTTTGGCTGTACTCATTGCTTCTCCTATCCAGAAACAGGGTTCCCAGGTTGGCGGGGGAGGGGGAGTGGGCCTTTGTAAGAAAGTTCTCCAGGCAAGGCCTGTTGCAGTCCCTGGTACCTACTAAACTCGGGCTTGTGTCTTACCCAAGTAACCCCTGGGTTCCGAGATGCTGGCTGGGGCCCCAGGAGTCCACAAGATCTGCTCCCTCAGGCCTGCAGCCCTCTCTGTCTGGATTCAGGGTCTCAGGGACTGTGACCAATGACCTCACTGCTTTGTGCCTCAGTTTCCCCTCTGCAGATGCAGCCCTTCCCTCTCCGGGCTGGCTTGAGAGTAAAGGAGGCTGGATAGTTAAGCATGTGCCTGGATTGCCTGCACAGCCTGGCCCTGCTGGGATTCCTGCCTGGAACCCCCTGGTCCTGAGACGCCAAACCCTTGGGAAGCAAGCTGGTGTCATGGGAGTGGGTGCAGGCCTAAGAGCCTGAGCAGCAAACCCAAGTCCAACTCCACCCCTGGCCGTGGCATCTGGGGCAATCAACAGTTCTGAGTACCTATGTTTCCATCTGTCACATGGGGGCCACACCCATGCTGGGCTGCCTTTGGGGAGGTGGGTCTCTGTGTGAGCCCATTTCCACACAGGAAGTAGATGTGATGAAGTACAGCTCCTGAGATCACAGGGGCCCAGGTTGTCAGTGTCAGCCATGGTGTCCGCACAGCTGAGAGATGGTAATCAGTCATCTCCCCGTCCCATGCCTTCTGGGTGCCAGGTCCTATGCTGAGTGCTGGGCACAGACCTCATGGCCCTCTTGCTGGGCTCCATGTCTCCTTTGGGTGGGACTCAGGCCTCTTACTTGTTGGGCTCATCTGAGAACACAATCAGAGCCCACAGGGTCCACAGCCTAGACAAAGAAACTAAGGCGTAGGGAGACAGGGCTCTTGTTCCAGGCAGGAGCTGGAGTCTGCAGGGAGGTGGACTGGGGAGACAGTATTCGTAGGGGTTGGAGTGTGAGTCTGCACTCACCACCCTGCACCAAGTTGGGTCACATGTGGCATGTGGCACGTGCTTCAAATCAGGCTGCGTGGCGACACTCTCATGCCAGAGTTCTCCCAAGGTCCCATGACGGCAGCCAAGGCAAAGTGAGTGGTGCTTTGGGGTCATTCACATCTGCTCTGAGCACCAGGCTAGATCCCCCTGTGCTTTGCTGATGAGGAACAGGCATGGGGAGGGGCTCCCCAACAGTGCAGAAGAGCCCCGAGTGCCTCCTAGACCTGCTCTTGCCAACTGTACTCACTGCACCTCTGGCCGCCCCCGCTCCCCCCACAGAACACGATTAACTCAGGGTTTGACATTAGGGAAGGCTCCACCTGCTTCCCACTCTGACAGTCTGAGAGTCTCAACATGTCACCTGGCCTTGGGACTCTGGGGAAGGGATTGTGTACGATGCAGGGACACAGGCTGGGCAGGGCCTCAGCCAGAGGCCCACT